TTGTCACCACTGCTAAAATGCACCACCCACCACATCACTGTGCCAACATCCACTGTTTGGTCTCCAGAAACATTCAGCAAGTGTTGACGAGTGTCAGTGGGTGCCATTTTTTCCTCATGGAGGAATTCAGTTCCATACTTGTGCTCTGTACGCATTTCCGTCAGACTCCACTCTGTCAGACTACTCCTCTGCTGCCATCTGTCACACAGCAACAATATGTAATGGGATATTGGCAGGAAGGTTCAACCTCTACTTTTGTATTGCCAAAATCATAAAATAGGAGGCATTACTTTGTGGCAGTCTTTGTCTTCACTAGTTCTGCTACTTGGTCTTTTTTCATTGTTCAAAGGTATTTAACTTCATTGTTAGTTCCACAAATTTCCAATAGGCATCAGCTACTGTAGTCTAGTTTCATGATTAACCTATTGGTACGTATGACCATGAGTGTTATTGTGTGTGTGTGTGTTTTGTTTGTTTTTAAGTGAAGTGTTTCCTTCAGCTCTGTGAAAACTTGGTAAATGCAGCTTGACAGTTCATGCGTACGGTGTTGGAGGGTCAGGATGTACTTGTCAGTAAAATCTGCAGCGAGTTAAGCTTTGAAGATGAACTGAAAAGCAGGCGGGGGAGGTTGCTTTTGTTTTATTTGTAATCGTGATGAATCCAGCTGTATTTTCACATACAAATAGCTGTGCTGCCCCTAGCCATCAAACATTCATGATTGGGTTGCTGCCCAGCTCTGCCACTCCAATATCAATTGATGAATCAGAGCATTTCTTTGGAAATATGGGCAAGGGGTTGTTTTCCGATTCTTAAATACAGGATTGCATAAAAAATGATTTTCTGCACTTCCTATGAACAAAATGAAATAGAGGAATAAAATTTGTCTGTGTATGTGAATCGGGTACCTTAAATATAGAAGTGTTCTTACTAAAAACAAACCCAATATTTCATGTAAAAAATCATTTCTTGTATCTCCAACCCAGATGTTGTAGAACTGAATAACATTCTGAAAGGAAGCAAATTTTTGCTCTAGTTTCAATTAACTTGTAACATCTTTTTCTAGGAGGTTTTTAAATGAGTTGGAATCTCAGTAGGTGGTAATGGTTTTTTTGTACATTTTCCCAGTAGACATTTTGACGCTTATTTAACTGCAGAGCAGTGTTTGCTCTCTGCTTGTGGCACTGATGGTGCTAGGAGGTTGGTGTGGGGAGCCTGTCACTCCCTGTGGGTAGAAGGGAGAACCAGTGAGCACAGATGACTGAGTGAAAAAAGATGCAATAAACACAACAGTCCCAAGGCTTTATTTTCTAGAAACCTGTCATTTCCTGTGGTCTTGTACGTGAAGCTCAGTTTGCCAGTCTGCTTATCCCTGCACCCATGGCTTTGCAAAGGAAGGCACCTGTTATTTTCCTTCCTGAGTCAATTCAGTTGATTAACTGGGTGGATTTGGTTTTATTACAGGAAGAATAGCTTTTTGCTAAATGAGTGTGCCAGTGCAGCTAATTGAGGAGTCCAATCAGTGCAAGAGTGGGAGGGGGGACCTCTACTGGCAGTGAGCAGCTGGGCTCAGCTGCATGGGAAGGCAACAGCAGGTGAGCAGAAAAAATATTAAGGCCCATTTGGTTGATTATATGCTCTTCTTCCAGAGATAATCTGCAACTCAGGAGTTTTGTGATCAGGGCGGGGCTTCTGAGAAATGGATTTAAGGCACTGGAGAAGCATAATAATGATTGTAAGAAGCATAATGATAAAGGGGAATGGCTGCTTATGAGGGTGGATGGTGATAGGACAAGGGGGAATGGTTTTAAAATGAGACAGGGGAGATTTAGGTTAGCTGTTAGGAGGAAGTTTTTCACCCAGAGGGTGGTGACACACTGGAACAGGCTGCCCAAGGAGGCTGTGGATGCCCCATCCCTGCAGGCATTCAAGGCCAGGCTGGATGTGGCTCTGGGCAGCCTGGTCTGGTGGTTGGTGACCCTGCACATAGCAGGGGGGTTGAAACTAGGTGATCATTGTGGTCCTTTTCAACTCAGGCTATTCTGTGATTCTATGATAAAGATTGGAGAAGTGCAAGATAAATCAAGTACGCAATTTTATTTGGGAAAAGAACGTGTGAGGCACTAGGCTTTGCTTCGTGAGGCTCCATGTGCCCATCAAAAACTTTTCATGACAATGAACAGCAACACCTGCATATAGATCAGGTTGCTCAGAGACTCTTCCAGCCTGGCCGTGGAAGTCACATGCTGCAAAACATCGATCTACTGTAAGTTTGTCAGGTCAAGATGGGACCAGAAGAATGAACATAGGAATTTCAGAGAAGCTTTTTGAAAGGATCTCTACTGAAGAACGGAGAAATTATCTGTTCCTTGATTCGTATAGTGCTAGTACTTTCAGGTAATTGTATGTGCAGTCTTACCTGGGAAAATAAGTTTCCAGAGTAGCTGAGCTCCATTGAAGTGTAGTTCTACATCTGAATGTTTGCTGCTGCTTAACTGAGATCCTTGTGAGCTGGATCATTTTGTCAAGCCTTCAGGAAACTAACCAAAATGTATAATTTTATGCTCAGTTAACAACCTAAAATAGCTAATTATGTGGCTTACAGAAGCAGTAATATCAAAGACAGAAGGAAGGTGAGGCTGTACGTGAGTGACTTAATTTCCTTACGCTGTCCTTCTATACCTTTTGCCTTTTCCTGAGAATTTGGAGAAATTGGGTATTTGTGTAACATTTAGGAGATGCTTGCTGGCCTGTTTTGATGAAAAATATTTAGAACATTTTCTGAACGCAATTTAAAGGAAACCATATTTATGCAAGGGAAGCTATTTAGATAGTTGCTGAACGATATGCTTGTCTATGCTGTTCCATGTCAGTATTAATTAAATAACATATTATACATTTTGGCCTTAATTCTTTGGACAGACCATTGGCAATGCAGAGTAGGGTAGTGTCAAACCTGGAATCTCAGTGACTAACATATGAAAACCAGTTTTCTTTCACCTTCATCTTTTTCAAGCTATATAGTATATACTTCTTGTTAAGAACTTTGTGTACACTCAGTTTTTATGTTAGTTCTATAATGGACCTTATTTTTTCCAGTGAAATCATAGAATGCCTTGAGTTCTTGATCCTTGGGATCCCTTCCAAGTCCCAACCCCCCTGTCACAGGCAGGCCCACCAACTTCCAGGTGTGGTACCAGGCTGCTCTGGGCCCCATCCATCTGGGCCCAACCTGGCCTTGAATACCTCCAGGGACGGGGCATCCAGAGCCTCTCTGGGCAGCCTGTTCCGGCACCTCACCACTCATAGTAAAGAACTTCCCCCTGACATGCAATCTAAACCTTCCTTTCTTCAACTTAAAACCATTTCCCCTTGTCTTATGACTGTCTACCCTTGTAAAAAGTTGATTCTCCTCCTGTTTATAATCCCCTTTTAAATACTGGAAGGTTGCAATGAAGTCACCTCGTGGCCTTCTCTTCTCCAAGTTGAAAAGCCCAGCTCCCTCAGCCTGTCTTTGTAGAGGAGGTGCTCCAGCCCTCTGATCATCTTTGTGACCCTCCTCTGGACCCTCTTCAACAGCTCCTCGTCTTTCCTGTGTTGGGGGCCTCAGACCTGGACACAGTACTCCAGATGGGGCCTCATGAGGGCAGAGTAGAGAGGGACAATCACCTCCTTGTCCCTGCTGGCCATCCCTCTTCTGATGGAGCCCAGCATACCATTGGCCTTCTGAGCCGCAAGAGCACACTGCTGGCTCATGTTCAGTTTTTCATCCGTCAGGACCCTCAGGTCCTTCTCTGCAGGGCTGCTCTCAAAGATCTCTCCTTTTGGTCTGTATGGATGCCTGGGATTCCTCCAACCCAAGTGCAAAACCTTGCACTTTGCTGTGTTGAACCTCATCAGGTTCACATGGGCCGCCTTTTGAGTTTATTGAGGTCCCTCTTGGTTGCAAAACAGGTTCCCTAGTGAAAAACAGATACAAAACAGATGGGAAAACAAACAAATAAACAAAAAACATTGGAAACACTATAGCTAAAGTAGCTTTTAGGAAATCTATCAGCTGTAGGTAAAAATATAGTTAATAGTACTTATTGAAAGAAAACTGAAGTTGTAATAATTGCAATCTCATCACTGTGCATTTGAAAATAAAAGTATACTGTGAGGGCATGTGCAAGCATTAACATTCCTTGTTCCCTACAGTCATACTGAAATATAATATTACTTTGAGATATAAAGCAATTCCACTTGTTTAATATCTATCAATATCTGTCTGTCCCCACATATCATCATAAATCCAGTAATTATAGTTCAGCTAAGTGAATATTACTTGGCTTTCTGTAGAGACAGTACATTTTTATTTTCTGTTGTGAATACATCATTAACTCTCTTCAGCAACTTAATCAGTGTTTTTATGCTGCTTATTCTTTTTCCTCTGTTAGTTGGGAATAATAATCACTGGGTTAAATGGGACTTGATTTCTAGTTTTTTTAGTATCTGTTTAAGTATCTGTTTCATTGATTATTATTTTTTTTTAATCAAATCAAATAATTTGAAAATGTTTCAGTCTTTCTTTTACAGTTTACATATTTTAATGTCATTGTGTTAAGTGTTGCACTCTTTAATTATTTTTGCGAAGAATTTGCAATTTTGATTTAATTAGAATTGCACTTGAGTAGAACCTGACCGACAATTAATTGATTTTGAAATGCTTTGGCTTTAAACAGTACTGTGCTAGAGAAATAGGAGAATCTGAATTAAGCCAAGGCAAACAGAGCAGAAATCTCTTATTTTCTCTTACATAGTTTATCTTGCTAACGTGGCTTCTGGAGAAGTGTTTACTTGCTTCAGAATAACTTGAGTGCTAACTAAATTCAGACAGGAAATGTTCCTTATGCTTTGAAAATACATTCAGTCATTGCCAGTGCATGCCATATAGAAGCAATGAAGTCGTTTATCTTTTTGTTGATGTGACCAGTATTAACTACATTCTTCCATTTTTTCTGTAGTTAAAGTACCTCGTAATTTTCGCTTGTTGGAAGAACTTGAAGAAGGGCAGAAGGGAGTAGGTGATGGTACAGTAAGCTGGGGCCTTGAAGATGATGAAGATATGACACTCACCAGGTGGACAGGCATGATTATTGGGCCACCGAGGGTAAGCGTGACAATAAAATGTTGCAAGCACTACAAAATGCCAACTGGAAAAGGTTACTCCCTACATTGTAAGGGAATTAGTTGAAAGGTGGTGTAAAATTCATTGAAGGTTGTAGTTGTAGTTGAAATACTGTATATTCACATTAGAAGTCATCATTTTCTGGCATGTTAGTGTTTTCAGTCCAGCCTCCAGTCTAGTACATGTTTCTGCAACTGTTTAAGCCAGTTGTGTTTTTACACTTTCTACTGAGTTAGAAATATACTTAGTCAGTATTTCCATCATTACTGCCCATAAATGTACAGTGACAATGCAGTAAACAGGGTAAATTTCTTTCCAAGGTTTAAGTATGTGCCTAGCAGTTTTAGTTCTGTAGCAAAGATTTATCAGATAGTCTTTTAGTATTGCAATTTATGCAGTCTTCTTGAATCGGTCCTAAAGAACAAGCAGTTGTTAGTTACTTCTAATAGGATAAAGTTTATAAATAATAATAGGAAAAAAAATCAAATCCTTCTGACCTTTTAATTTCTATGAAATATCATCTGTTCTGAAAGCCTGCAAGAGATGTAATCATCCCTGATGTATCAGCCTTACCTGGTATGAGTGGACACATCTTCACCTAACATGTAACTTTTGTGCAAGCTTGCTAATGAGTTAATATGATACAAAGGATCACCGTTTAGGACTTTAAATGAGTTTACTTCCAGTAGCTCTAAGTTAGCACATCTTTCACTGCTAACACGAGCATACTGTCTTGTGCCTCCTTTGGTGCTGGAGGGCTTATTGACTTATCCAAGACAAGAACTGAGATCAGAATTTGACCTCAGTGAAGATAATGAGTTCCAGAGTTACATTCAGTGTAATTCAAGCTCCTTTTGGAAGTCAATTAGCTGTAGCATGCAGCAGTCTGTTTAGAATATCTGCATAATTGTATGGAGCTCCTGAGACTTGGATATGTTTGAGACAGGACCAATTTAAAATACAAATGTAACACGGGTATGCCTGGATACTAGGTTCTGTGGAGTCACAGTATTCAAATCTGTTCAGAAGAAAATTTGTTATAGTTTCCAGAACTGTCTGGCTGATTTCTGGTTTCACCTAAAGCAGATTCTTAATGCACCTTTGAAGGAAGTGATTATTATGTAGGAGGCTAAAGGATTTTACTAAAAACAGAACAAACCTCTGAGATGCAGTTTACATTCTAGTCAAATTATATTGTTTATTTTTTTTTTTCTTTCTGACTTTCTATGTAAAAGAGTGCAAGCAAGTAATATTCTGGACCATGTTAGAGACTTGCAGTCTTGCTTAGAGTAGAAAGAATTTCAGTATGTGGAGACTGCGGATAGTAAAAGCCACCAGCTCTCAAACCAGGATGGTACCTCAATGAAAAGAGCTGCACATCCAGTTTTGGTGTTTGTAGAAGATGGGTGTTTTTGGAATTGGTTGAGTTAGGTAGAGAGTGTGCAGCTTGGCTGAGCACAGGGAAAGTCGCTACTACTTCCCACAGCATGAAGTTCTTCATATACCAGTCTCTGGAGCTGTGCAAGGAATTGCTTATCAATGTTTTCTTACTTGATTTGCAAGGTGAACCAACAAGGAAAGGGGAGGAGAAATTTGTTTTGAATGAAAGGAAACATTTTTCTGGCCATGGAAAAATGCTTTTGAGACTCTTGGGGGAGCTGGTCATGGACCTTTAACTTACAGTTAAGCATCAATTGGAAAAGCACAGCAAAATTGAAAAGCTGCCTGGATTGGAATGAGGGAATGTGAATGAGTGCCATTCTCAGGAATTGTCAGAGTTGTGAGTAATGGGTGTACATTTTGGCCTGTTTCCACAACTGACAGCAATCTTCTCTGAAACGTGGTAGCACATATATTATCTGTAGCAGGACAAGATTAGTTTTTTGGGCTTCCTGCTTGTAGTGGGTAATAACAGTAGAAAATCTTTTTTTTAATTTATTTTTTTTTTTTTTGTAGAAAGGTATCCTGCTTCCTTTTGTTTCTTTCTGACCCAGTTGTTGGTTTATCTGTAGCTTCTTGAAATTACAGGACGTGGTTAGGATCCTTCACGTGGCTGCCATTTACTTGGACACCAAGTGAACTTTTGACAATTTGACATTGAAGTCGATTCTTCTACTTGGAGTGAGTGACAGCTGGCTGATGCAGAACAGCCTGCAGATGGTACTTTTTGAAAGTTTGGCAGCATCTTTTTGCTGCAGGTTCATATTAGCAGTAGGCGTTGTGTAGGAGCTGGGTTTATATTCTTTTTGGAGTGCAGACACTTGTGCATCAGTGACCAGTGGAGATGCTGATGCTTTTTATCATGCATGTCCTACTTGACAAGAAAAAAAAAGTTAGAATTGTGTTTATTTTTGATTGGATTTTCTCAAGATATACTTAGAAACAAATAAGAATGAACTGTTAATGAACTCTTCCACAGTCGTTTTGGAGAGGTGTCTTCTGCAAAGGTGCTGTCACCTAATTGCACTGCCTGAAATTAATAAATGCTTTGGTAAACCAATCTTTAAAGGGCCATTTCTTGATTTCATTCCTCTCTGAAATATTTACTTGCTTAAAAATTCTCAGCAATGGGAGTCTTGGAAATTTTCTGGAGTGCTACTTACTTCTAGAATATGTATTTTTATTTTTCATCTCCTTTTTTGTTTGGTTATTCTCACCTTTATCTTTCCCTGTTCCCTTTTTGTTTTCTCTAAAGATTATTTTCTTCCCTTAGCTCCCTGCTGTGCTAAAAGTGCTTTGGCAATGCAAATGCAGTAAATGTGAATTAAAAAAAAATTATTCTGTTAAAATCTTTTGTATGGTACTGTCAATAAGTAGTATAATTTATAGAAACTCATCAGCTAACCAACGTAACCAAAACAGTGGGATATCAGTTACTAATCCAATACTATCAAGGAGTACATAATCACAATAAATTTAATTATTTTGTATTTCTTTGTCTTTATTCCTCTTGCCTTTGCTTTCTGTTATTTTCTGAATATTCAGCTTTCAGTAAGATGCATTAGTCTGTCTTTTTGCTTTCTAGACAAACTATGAAAACAGAATATACAGTCTGAAAGTAGAGTGTGGACCTAAATATCCAGAAGCACCTCCTACAGTTAGATTTGTAACTAAAATTAATATGAATGGAATAAATAATTCCAATGGAATGGTAAGTTGAAATGGTAAGACCAACAATATTGTTAATCTGTACTATAAACTATTTATATCCCAGATGAGGATTTTGCATGTTGGAAGGAGTTTTCCTATTTAAATTGTACAGTATGAAGTACTTGGTTTAAATGAAATTTTGGTTGCCTATTGCACACATTTAAATCTTAAGGTGTTTACAGTATTTTAGTGGCTCTCAGTGGCTTGTTAGTGAGAGAGGCATTATTTATAATACTGAAACTCTTGTTCCTCTGAAATAAAATCAAAGGTTTTAATTTTGCACAGGAAAAAAAATGTTTAAGCGATGTATTTTCCATGGATTGCTCGTACAAAAATGACATTAGATTCTATCCTAACAGGAATGCTGTACTAAAGACCATTTTTTTGTTTAGTTAGTAAAGTTTGTTTTAGTATCCAAACTTTATCTGATATTTCCATTAATTACAAATGGAAATGTTTCTGCCTGAATTGTATTGTGGATGAACTGATGTGTTTAAATGCCTATTTTCTTTATAGTGGATTTATTCAGATCTGAGATTATTTTTAAGCTTCAGTCTTAAAGTCTTTTAATATAGGTAGTAACCACTTTCATATTAAAGATCCATTTGCAGTGAATTACATTCTTAGCAGTGTGTTTGAGCTGTTGTGAGTCTTAAAAGTATACTGATCATCCAAAGCCAGTGAACTAACACCTCAGCAATAGTTTAAAGGGGATTTGAAATTTCTTCCTGCATAGTCAACAACCCAACTCTATCTGAAGATCTTACTAAAATTGCTGTCTACAAACCAGCTGTTGCTCTTTATTCCAGCTGTAGCTTATAATCTCAGTATTTGTATTTATTAAGAAGTTGTGACCAGCCAAAGCTGCCAATCTGGAATGCAGTAGAGCTTTTGGTATGTTTATAATATTATTTTCATACGTCCCCCTTGTAACATGTATTGTTCTGAATCAGTGAAGAAGTATGTTGTCATTAATTCATCTGTGCATGCCTGAGAATATAGCTGCTGGTTTCCAGAAGCAAAATTTCAGGCCTGCAGAGCCTAAAAGCTTGTGTTTACTGAGCCCATCTGCTTGGAGCTTGTGTTTGGAGAAGTCTGGACTCCCTCAGCCTGATGAGAAAGGGGCTGAATATTGGGACCGGAAGTTTGACGGGTGGTTTTAAAAGCACTGATAAAATTCAGTCGTTACTATAGGAAAATCTGATTCTAATTCATTTGCAGCAAAAGTTCATTCTTACCCCCAATGGTTCAGGCAGATAGAATACAATATGAAGGATTTGCTGTGCAGATGCTTAACTGTACATGTTTCGTGGATTTCAGTAGGAATAGGTTGTACTTTTAACATAAACCGTTCGCAGCACTAACGAATTTAAAACTCACTACGTGATTTTTTGATGTACCCTTTGTCTTGATTTCTTGTGTTTTTAACTTGTTTTGCCGTTGTTCTCACTAAAATTGTGCCAGACATATCAGATAAAGTGGAGGCACGTTTTGCAGTTGAGAGCACAGAACTGGAATTCTGACGGAGAGCTGAATTTGGCTTTGCTCCAACCTAGTTTTTCATTTTTGGTTAAGCCACTTATCTGTGGTGTATTCTGTGTGGATAGAAATGTCACGTTTCTGGAGAAGTGATACACAAAGAGTGTACAAGATATAGAGGCAGTTCACTTGTGCTGAACAGATTCTTTTCTAATGGAAAGGGTAAGAATAAGAAGCCATTCTATCTAAACATGAGGGGACATTTCCCTGTGTGAGCGATAGCACTGGCACAGACTGCCCAGAGGCTTTGTGGTCTCCTCCTTGGAGATTTTCATATGCCACCTGGGCGCTTTGCTCTGGGCTGGGGTTGAGTCAGGTGGACCCAAAGGTCTCTTCCTAAGAGTAGGATAACTTTATATTTTCTTAGTTCCAAATTCAAAAAAACTAGACAAATCTTGGTTTTCATTTTCAATCTTCTAAGCATGTGTTTCAAAAATAGGGGTTTAAGTAAAAACTTTTGTTTATAGTGTGAGTATGGATGATAGTATATGCATACTCTAAAAGCTGTTTAGCTTTTCATTAAAGCTTCTTTTTAAACGTTAGTGAAAGTTTGGTTGTTTTTCTTTTTTTTCAGAACCAGGTGTTATTTAGAAATTCTAAAGCAATTCTGATCGTAATAGAGGTCTCTTTGCAGTAGTTCTGTGCACATATGTTCCAGCTTGCTGCAAAATACTGGAAAGCAGAATAAATGTATGTATGTTTAATGGATGAAAGTATTATTCTGTTGCCTGAGCCACAAGCTCATATTCCTTTTCTTCTAAAACGTGCTCCAGCTTCTTTGGAATAGTTCATGTTTCTGCTTCCTATTTTATTTCCTTGTCTCTCTGAAGCTGCTCTCTCACTGATTCTTTCATATAATAGATCATAAGTGGTTTGCTGCATACTTTGAATGATTGAAGATGACAGTGTTTTGTCTTCAAAGAAGCTCTGCTATCTGTATTTCTGCAGCCTCTTTGTTCACTCATGGCCGCCATTTGATCACGTTGCTTGTAGATGTCATGAAAAATATTGATGACTTGCAGAATAGAAACCCAAGATAAACAGCACCAGAAGTGTTGCCATGACAATATTGTAGTAATACTCAAAACATTTTTGGCAGTGTTATAGTATACAAAATAATTATGCCATTGCTCGAGGTAGAGTCCCCAGCATGAGCTTCAAGGATAATAATTTCTTTTGAGTTAAGTGTGAAAGGTGGAGGGGAGTGATGGATGTGTACTGGAGTTAATGTTAGCGTAAGAAAGCTGCTTTTAAACTGCTTCTATGTTTTCCGTTAAAGTGCAGTTATGTGTGTTGAGTTTATTCTTACTGACAGTTGGAATATTTTGACTTCCAGTTGGATTGTTTTGGGAAGGAACTTTTGCTTGTGAGTGAATTTTCCATCAGCAGCATAACTTCAGAGACATTGTAGGAAAGGAGAGGGCTGCTTTAAGGGTATTTTGTATAAGAAGGCCTAACTTAGGTTCATTGAATCACCCTTGGAAATTGCATTTCTTATTTGCAAGCTTTAGCATGTGGTTTTCTGCTTTTCAGTTTGCCTGTGGAGCTACTGAGTTTGCACACAGGACTGGGGTACTAATTTCAGAAAAGCTAGTCTGAGTACTTATGGCTGGACAAAATGCTTTGCTGTGCTAATGGTCATTGTTGTACAACTGTATTTAAATTATTGTTCTTAATGCTGTGGAGTGTTTTTGGTTTTGTTTTTTTGTTTTTTTTTTAATTCTGTATCCTGTATTGATGAAATGCAGGCTGTGTTCTGGCATGCTATTTATTTTCACATGGTCTTTTGGAGATGTCTAATTTTTGAGCCTCTGAGAGTTTTTTTAGCAGTCTGTCTTGCAGGATTTGCATCACAAAAACTTACAGCTGGAAATCCTTGTTACTTATAAATTTACTTGGGCCTCTGTCAACTATAATTCCGTCAAATGCTGTCCAGTTACTGCTTTGAGTGTGTTTATTGTAAACTAAGCAGTTTGCTTCTGCTTTAAGTTCTCCTAAAGTTACTGAGAAAATTATAAATACCCAATACTTGGCAGCATTTTGGAAAATTATTTGGTTTGATTCCAGTAATTTAGTGAAATAACGTACATAATTTCTTCTTTTTTTAAAGTTACGTTTACAGTTGTGTACCCCAGAAAAAAAATAGTCCTCAGATTGCAGTTTTCAGCCCTATTAGCTTTTATGCCATCCAGAAACTTCTTCCTCTTATATATAACAGATGCATCCTTCAGTATTACTTAGATGCTCTTGTGTGATTTGAATGTTACATAGTTTGTGTCAGCCTTCCAAATATCTTAGCGTTGTTCTTCATAAAGTGAATTTACTGCACACTGTCTAAATGGGAAATACATTCTGCAGTGCAATTCCTGAGCCAAAATCTTCACTGCTGTAAGATGTCATCAGTAAGTCAGTGACTTGCAAAAAGAGCCTTGAGATAAACAGCAACAAAATGTTATGTTGCAGCAGTCTTTACTCAGAAAGCATTCATAACTTTAAGGCAGAGTTTACAGTCTGTGAGCTACTATTACAAATTCCCAGCCAAAAAGAAAAGCTGAAGAAGCTTACTTCAGAGTGATCCCTTCTCATATTCCAGCACAGCTAGTACGTAGAACTGCATTGCTTAAACATCAGTGATGACTGATCACTAAGTGCTGCAACTGAGGCTGAGTGCATGGTTGAGATAGACTAAAAAGGTGAAGTTGTGGAGAATCAAGAAAAAGGAAGATAGTTTGGGAGCAGAACTGCAAGGCTGAAGGCAGATGTTCACTGGAGGAGTCCCAGAACAACTGCCTTTCCATCTACTTTTTGCTAACTTGGTCCTTATCTGAACAGATACTGAGTTTTCTCTTTCAAACCTACTGAAAGCTAAACCTGCCTTTCTCTTCTTACTCACATTGGCTTACTGGTTGTCTTCTAAAGCCACCAGTTGTTGGTTACTGCATAATTACCACGAGCCTCCAATGTGTGCATTTCTCCTGCATTTCTGTTGCAGCTGTTGTCTGGTCCTTGGCCTCATTTACCTTTACTTCTTTCCCGTAGTTCTTCTTGGGGAGATGACTGGTTTTCAGGGAAATTATTGATGTGATTTCTCCTCAGCTACTGAGGGTGTTGTATTTCAGGCCAATATGGAAGTTGTTTAAATTACAGGTCTGTCAAAGGGCACAGACCAGAGCAGTCGGGGAGTACCCATATTTTGTTGTATTTCTCTGAATAGAAGAGAGTAGGTAAGCTGCAGAGAAGTATTAGCAAGTCATATGTGTGTACATGTGTAGGGAAAAAGGACTTCTTAATCACCTGCAACAAAATGCAAAGTGAACATATGATCTGGCACTCATTTCATCTGTTACTGAGGTTTTGCTGCTTTTATCTACCACACTAAACCAAATACTTGTGTCAGAAGAAGAGTCTAGGAATTACCATGATGGTCTGACTGGTGATCTAGTGGGTAGCAGCCCTGCCCGTGTCAGGGGTTAGGGTTGAAGATCGCCTAGTTTTAGGGTGATCTTAGGGTGATCTAGTTTTAACCCATGTTAGGGTTAAAACTAGGTGATCTTTAAGGTCTCTTCCAACCCAACCCAAGCCTTCCTAGGATTCTAGGACTATAGTGTTACTTTGAAAACTTTTCTGTGTAAACTCACACACTTACTGGTTACTTCAAACTGCCATGACCTTGATGCATAAGATAACTTTCCTTTTGATCTCCTTTCTTAATTATTACAAACATTTATAAATTATGTATTAATCTTAGTGCCTTTTATACTGTGGTTTGATGATGTGAGGTCTTTTGCAGCGGTGCTGGCTATATAAGGAGCTCTGACTCTAGGCAGAACGTTCTTTGTACAAAGAGAAGTGCTGAGCTGTGAATTGGATCAAGGATCCTGCCCTCTATCACTTCGCATCACAAAGAAGGCCTACAAACATTTCACGGCTCATCTGAAATGCTGATACACAGTAGCACTGCTACGGGGAAAAAGTGCCTAGTGAGAGGGAGAATTTTCTTGAGTTCTTATTGCTACCTACACCAGCATGCTGTTAAGCTTTGGCATCAGTTTCCTCTTACAAAAAGGTTTAGTCTCATCTTCTGGTGTTCTGAAAATAGCCTCAACAATCTAGAAAGAAAATGCTTCTGCTAGAATTCTTTCTAAGGACAGTGAAGTTTTTTTGTTTTTTGCTTTTTGTTCTAATGAGAAGGAGAAAAGAAGCTTCATGATGCTTTATACAGCCTAAATTATAAATCGGTGACTTTTCAGCACTTTTATAGCCTCATGGCCTACCTGCATTACTGTGGCAATGGAACTCAGCATTGTGCAGTTGCCTATTCTTGCCCTTGGGTCTCCTTTGCCATCCACAGCTTTGGGCTCCCTAAGATCTTCTTAGGATGCTCTGTGCAGCCTGAGTGGGCAGGACGTACCTGTTGCCAAAACAGGCTGATTTTCATTTGTTGACTTGTGCTTGCCTATTGAAACCTCTCTGTGTTGTGATTGTGTAAGTTATCTCACAGGTTTAATAAATGAATAGGGAAAGTCCACATGTAAGTAATCTTCACAGCTCCATTAAATGATTTACTGCAAGAACAATGTGAAGAACTAATAAGTGGCTCAACATCATGAATCAAGTATTTCAGGCTATTTCTTAGCATATGTACTGATACTTGGTATATCAGAAGCACCACATAGTATCGGTATATAATAATCACAAACCGATACTTGAAGCAAGGGAAATATTCCTTAAGAGAGGTATTTGCAAACACTTGTGTGTCAGTGTTTTCCTCAGCTCTTTAAAAACCCAAGTGTATATATTTAATATATACTTAATGAAGGTGATTTTTTTGAGTCATTTGAAACAAATTGGTAGAATTGAATTTTGTGAGGGATGGTTCCAGTTTAGCAGTGAACTATTTGCTGACTTCTTCTCCACTCATCCCATCCTTTTTGTTCTCGCTGATGTTAATATCAGCACAGGTGGAGGGATCCACCTGCATGGGTTTTATTGCAGAATCTGTATCTGTGCAAATGTATGTTTATTTTCCTAAAAAGTGTGTTATGAACACAGTTCATAAAGTGGGGACTTTATGCCACAGAGAAATTGTCAGAGAATGTTTTGACTCTTTCTTAGGAGCATTAGGTCAATAGCAGTAATTCATACATAGGTTTTTTTAAATTATTATTTCATTATAACTTACAGCTTTCTCTTCTCTTTGCAGGTGGATGCACGGAGCATACCAGTGTTAGCAAAATGGCAAAATTCTTATAGCATTAAAGTTGTACTTCAAGAGCTAAGACGTCTAATGATGTCCAAAGAAAATATGAAGCTTCCACAACCTCCAGAAGGACAAACTTACAACAATTAATTTTAGCTGATTCTCAAACTTCTGTCTTAAAACAACAACCTTCTACTCATGTTAATGTCTTGATTAAATCTCACAATGCAAACACCCACACATTAAAAGAATTTCAGCTGGTATACATGACCTGGACATTTGTAAGAATATATATAATATATGTATGCCCAATATGTTTTCAGGCACTATGGGAGAAAAAGGCAGCACAATTATTTTTTTCTCTTACCAAGGCACTGTCATTTAAGCATAAGCCTGGAATAGCCTAAAATTGGAATTCAGGTTTTACAAGATGAAAGCATGACAGGAAGTGTCAGATTGCTGTGGAATAATGTATGTTTCTGAAAATAATCTCTTGAGAAGGCAAAATATAAATGGCATGCTTTATCCATCTTGCTTAGTAAAAGAGCTGCAGTTAAAATTTGTTTTAAAGTAGCAGGTACAGTGAATACCGTTGCTCATCTTGTTTAATTTTGCAAGGGTGTGGGTACCGACTACTAGTAGTGTCACAAAGTATGTTCAGGATTGTTTTGATACCTGTATTTATAAAATGGGGGGGATTAATTTCTGTTAAGCAGCTCCTGTGTGTTACATGTATTGGACATGGCAAATATTTGTTTACAGTCTTTGTTCTAATAAACCATGCATTTAAGTTTTAGTGAAACAAAGGAAATGTATGGATATGTGATTGAGATTAAAGTTAGTCTTAAAATGTAAATAAAATGTGGAAAGTGTCTGAGGCTGTGCCATTTCTATAACAGTGATGTATTATATGTACAGTAACTTGCAGAAGTAGTGGAAAGCCAAACATAATATTGCTGCTGGTTTTACATGCACCTTCTATTCTTACATTTTGTATGCTTAGTTTACTTTAGAGGTCAAGGTATTTCTTTTGCTGCAGAGTAACGTCTGTCATCTCTGCTGCCACTTCTTTATACAAACTTGCACTGTGCATGTAAAGAAAAACAAAAAACCAAACAGCCTCCCCTCCTCAAACCAAAAGCAAAAAGTTCATCTATCAGATCCCCCTACGCCTCCCCTCCAGAATCTTTTGAGAAATGAGCACAACTTTCAAGTGACTTACTTGACCTCTGAGCAGTTTTCAGACCGCACTTCTGAAGTCTCTCAGGTCTCTGTCGTGCTTTGGCAGTTGTTACCTCGATTCATGCATTCTTGCATCTTTCTTTCTTTTATGTTTCTTTCCTTTTTTTCTTGTCCCACCTTTGCCACTTCTCAAACACACACAAAAAGAATCTTTTGGAAGCTTTAATAAAAAACCCACACGTACCACAGATCATCATATCTCCATCTGCTTTTCGTGTATTGTGTTTCTCACTGTCCTTCTACTTAGAATGCCTGTTGCCTCTTAAAAATGTTGGTCTGTGTTTTCAATATTTTTTTTTTTTTTTTTCTGGTGAGATCGTTGGTTTGGGTTCTGTTACTGATTTCTCATAAGAAAGTAAGCTAGCAGTGTCCTGTTGGAAATGAGATCCCTCTTGGAAAATGTGTTTGTTTATTGTGGTGAGAACAAATAACAGTGGGAATAAGTTGACTATTTGCGTTCAAGGTTTTATTCTTTCAAAAAAGTGAATTTAATCAAAAGCCATCAACAGCCAGGTAACTTCGTTTGATATGCCTTTGCCAGTCTCACATGTAAAGAACCTCTAAAAGCAATAAACTAGATGTTCTTTGCTTTCAATTGAGAAATTTAATTTTTTTAATACTTTTTATTTTTTACAAATTTGGCACTTCTAGAATTAGTGGAACTATAGCTGCCAGCTACCTCTTGTCTGTATTTATATGACGTGTCATTTGTGACAGTTTGGTGGTTTGGTTGAAGTGCACTGCACTGTTTTCCTACTTGATTTTCATTTGAATGACTTTGATGCCATTAAATCCTCTTTTCTTACACTGACATTGGTATCTATAATCAGTTACAATAATGGATTCATGCAGTTCTGAGATGTGAATTTTGGGGAAAATTGCAGCATAAACTCAAGAGAGTGAGAAATGCTCAGACTATTTACGTGGTTTAAGAGACTGTCTTATTGGCAGCATGAAAAATGGTCTGGTTGGTCACTTGGTCATATCTGATACAAGATCATCCTGCATCAAGTTTTCACCCTTGTCTGTACTTGATCGGTTTGTATCTGTACTAATCTGCGTATCCAACTCTAAGCAGACACACTTTGCATAGGAAAAAATAATGGTGGCGAGAGCTGACCTGAACTCTGACACCAGGGTGTGAGGTGACTGAAACATACTCCTGGAGTGGTCTTATGTGTCTTGGATTTCCCTTTTGCTCACAGTGGTACAAGACTGTATGCAACTCCTTATGGAATGTTACAGTGTTTTTGACTACTGCAAGAAGTTGAAAGCGTTCCCTAAGCTGTTCTATTACTTGTGGAAGATTTTAGTGCACAGCTGCTTACTCTCTTACTCTTCTCTGGAAGGGTTGCATTGTTTTGCAAATATCTGTGTCTGATCAGCATTTGCCCTGCAATTTGTTTTATCATGTTGTGTTTCTTTTTGATAACTTAATTTCCGTGCCAGCATTTCAAATTTCCTCTCCTTAATTTGTGTGATGTTCATTGGGCAGGATCTGTACGTGCTGTTGTTAGCAAATGTCTGACTTTTTTTTCCCCTCAAAACTGCGTTTGCATGTCTTGCGAAGTAGAGCACCATTTTCAGCCAGTTGCATGAGGAACAAAGCTCAGAATCTAAATACAGCAACTGCTCTTCAAAGTGCATGTGAAAATTCTTCATTTGCTAGTGGTCCTGAACCAGCGTTTAAAACATTGTGCTCTGAAACTGCTGAAGTTCTTGTGTGCTGCTTTTTCAAGGGAGGGGCGAGTTCGCTGTGACATAGAGGAGTAAAACAAAAGGTGGTTTCATGCTTTTAAACCTTAAGATATAACAAGCAATCCTATGGAAACATCCACATTAGTAATAACGTGCCTTACCCATCTGTAGTGAAGTACATGAGGGTGGCAAGGTGTGCTCCTTGATGGCACGGATCTTTCCAAAAGCATCCTGAGAATACTTGATAGCTGGCAAGGCAGAGCTACTGTGGAATAAATGCATCATCCACGCTCCTCCAAAATGTTATTGTACAGTGGATATCTAAAGGAAATTGCCAGCATGTCTTCTGATTTGATCAACCATAATAATAAACATTTAGGCAATTGTTTGTATTACATGGTTACTTTTAAATATATGGTGAGTTTGTGGGGACATATTTCCTACGTAGTAGTTTTTGGGGCCATAATTCAGGGTTTAACACCCATTACAGTTCTCTTCCCTTATGTTTTGATGCAGGAGGATGGTGGAGCAGCTTGCCTGGTAGGGGTCCTGCGGCATGGGCAGGGTGTCTGACTACTGCTTGCTTTTATTCTGGCCTCTGCTTTCTGGAAATGCAGCTGTTGTGCCCCTGGAGTGGTTGCTCTTGCTGGGAAAGGAGGTGTTTAGCTAATTCTGTATGGTTTGCTGTAACTTTTTTTTCTTCAGAAGACCCGCTTTGGCACTGGAGTTATTCCCTGAAACAGTGTATTGTGCTCATACACTGGCCTTAAAAATAACTTTAAAAGTACAGAAGAACAGGTTTCCCTATCTGACATCAGCTTCCACAGGACTGAGTGCTCCATTCAGTGTTTAAAACAGCAGATTTCTACGTTACCTGGGTGTTAATGCTGTCTGCAATGCTTTGTTGCTGTTGTTTTTCCACTAAATTGATCCGTACCTTCTGCTCAATTGATGAACAGTTGTAAGGATGTACAGTAAATTCCATTCCATGTGTGTTGCATACCAGCACTCAAGTAGCATTCCCACATTCAAGTAGCTTGATGTTTTTCTGTTTACCATTTTGAAATAGTGATAAATATTAAAAGCTTTCTATTATTTATACTAGTGCTAAATGACATGAATGGGTAACGTCATGGGTGATGTTGAGATGGCGCACAATTAACCAGATGGCTCTGTTGCTTTTAGGTTTTGGTATGCAAAACTTGCCATAGTAGAGAACTGTAAACCAAGAGCATGGAAGTCATGATACTGAGATTCCAGGTTAATCAGAGTGATTGGTGATCAGTGCTCCTAAGGTGAAACGTATATGTGTGATTAATTCAGTCAGTACTATTAAAGAGGAAAAGTCTGTGTTAAATCCTTGTTGCATTTGCCAAAATATTGGATGAATTGCTGGTAACCCTGATTCCCACCTATTCTGGCCTACTGTCTTCATGTTTGTTGTTTGCTGGATGGAAGCTTCAAGAAAATACGTGATTCCAGATCATCTGGGTGCTGTGGGGCACTTGGAGCTATGGGACCTTCCACTGCTGATAAATCTTGAAAATAACGCCTTGCCACAGCATTGCCATTTCAGGATTCATGGAGGTGATCACAGTCATCTCATTTTGTATCTTCTCAGACTTCTGTCTCATGCAATTTTTTTTCTGTATGAAGATTCACAAATAAAATGTATGATCTCTTATGGTAGAATTAACCTGTAACGATGGATTTGTTGCAGTCTTATCTGACAGTATTTCAAACTGTGTCCTTACAATCGGCATCAAGTGTACAAGTCATTGCATTTAGAGCAAAGTTCTGCTGAGTGCGATGTTTTCGCTCCTTAAGTGCTGTAACTTGAAGTACTGAAATAATGTGAATTCAAAATATATAGTCCTCATGTTTCTGGTTAGCGATGGTTTTAATATTGCCATTCAATGACTACGATAAGTGTTTGCTTCCTTGAGTTGTCATTCAAATTAAGCATTGAGTGTTTAAAGCCTTTGTCACCTTGGTTAGCAGTGTAATGGTTATGATTTTTAGAGTGGGATGCTTAAAACACAGCACTGCTTTGGAAACTTCTCATTTCTGTTTTCAATCTGCTAAAATAACAATAATAATAAAATCGAAACTGCTTGTGTTCCTTGAAGCAGCAACTATTTCTTCCTGGCATTTCAAAAACACATTTTATCTGTTAGGAATTTTTGTGCTATTCAGTCTAACAATGTTAATTATTTATCTCTAATGTTTTACTGTATTTACGATTTGATGATTCTGTAATATTTGTGTAATAATCAATATTAAATCAGATGCCTACAAACACATGCACCCCTTTGCTTGACAGATGCAGAAATCACATCCCCTGCTCGAATGAGCCTGTAGCTGAAGACAAAGAAACAGGAGAGTGAAGGAATTCTTGTAATTGAAATATGCCATTCAGAAATGCTTGATTCTCTGGCTGCAAAAAGCTGAGGGCTGATGAAATGTTTGCTCAGTTTTCATACGCTTGCTTCTACTCAGTGGAAATTACACTGTGTAGTTACCTAGATACACAGATAAGGGGTTGCTTCTTCCTAAGCCAGAGTGTTTTAGTGTGGTTTTTGCTGTGAGTTGTAGTGTAGCTGCTTTTTGTGTAATAGCTGGGATTTGTTTGATGTCTGTGCTATTTAAAGACAAGTGGTAGAATTCTGGGAGGTATTACATTCATGCTGTATTGCTAATGCTGTTCAGAGAGCAGTGGCAATGAGTGGAAAACCTGAGCACTGGGCACAGCCTGGGTTTTCTGCTCTCGTGTTTTGGAATTTTGTCTTCCAGCACTGAGAAATGTACTTCATCATTGCCTGCAGCCAGGCTAAAATCTGAGCCATTGAAGCTCTTGGTTAAGCAGGGATATCCTTGGGTGATGTTTGGAGATGAGCGCTGGAGGTAGAAAGCAGTGCAATCTTTATGCACG